CCCGAAATCTTTCCGCTCGGCCGCGGGTGTGTGTGTGTATGTCAATGTTTATATATATATCTTTGTCAGTACAAACATATACAGTATTAGGTTTTACCTTAACATAAAATTCCACTTCAGCAACAGCTCTCTGGTTAAACCCACCTCGCAGTAATCAAATATCCACATAAACTGGTTAAAAACTAATGATATTAACAAATTTATCCCATGAAAACTGCAAAAAAAACATAACCTCTAAAGTATTTATTTGTATATTGTGTTTAACGTATTTTTTTTTTTTGGTTCATTAAATATCAGCAGTTTCGAAACTGTCCTGTTTGAAAAATTCAAAATTGCGTTCACTCCCTGGAATTTTGTTATTCTGCGTTTGACACAAATTGGTATTAATTGTTGAGAGTAAAGGTGACATTGTGTGGGTATGTCAGGTGGATGTTATTGTTAAAGTTTGGGGGATGGGTAGGCTACACACACACACACACACACACACACACACACACACACACACACACACACACACACACACACACACACACACACACACATACATATATATATACATTCATTCATTTGGAGGTGGATATAAGTGGACCACTGACAAGAGGCACACCTACAGTAACATCAGCAGCATATGGGACGTCGGCAAAATTCGAACATTGTTTACAGACCTAAATCATGGCTCTTCCTCAGGGTGAGGAGACGCAGAGAGGATATGATCACGACATACATATTCACCGTGGTGAATAGATATGATGGACAGCCTCTTTAACTTGAGAGAAAGTAATAAAGTGGTTTTAATCTTTTAAAGTCATGTATATTTATTAATTTGGTTATTTTTTATCATAATTTTTACATTGCGCTAATCAAATAGTACGGTAAGGTATTTTTTGGTCCACCCTGTATATTATATTCGTCTTGAGTTCTCATTTGTGCATAGGCATGCGTGTGCGTGCATGCGTGCGTGCTTGTGCGTGTGTGGCAGTGATTTTAACTGAATTTATTAAAAGGTGATTATACAAAGGTGATTACCATTATTTGTTTAAATGGCTCAAATATGCAAAACGTAACTCTCTGTATTAAAGTAAATCTGTGCAACATTGCTTTGGCAATGGGTTAAACCTGCTAAAAAAAAATGGTGGCTCCTGTTATGTTGTTCAGTGTTGAAAATGTGTGTGTGTGTGTGTGTGTGTGTGTGAGGCTTTTGGTGTAAAGCTTGTGTTCCACTGGCTCCATGTGTGAGTAACATGGCTGGAGCCTCATACATACTCACTCACTCACTCACTCACTCACATAAATACAGAATGGTAAATCTCACACCGGTATTGATATTCTTGGTATTGGAATATCTGATGCCATTGGAATAAAGAAATATATGAACTGGGAAAGGCCATAGTATTACCTGGGTAGGGAATACACACACACACACACACACCTGTGAGAATGGCAGAGTTGCCCCATTACACACAATTGGGAAAAAGAAACTGGAAAATAAGACGCCCAATACAACTAAATTCATTGTGGAGAAATGTACGAAGCGGCGGAAACCCTTATTGCCCGCAGAGAGAGAGAGAGAGAGAGAGAGAGAGAGACAGACACAGACAGAGACTAAGGGTTATATAAAGCGTTACACAACAAAACCCTTCCTCCTCAGCCGTCTTAAGAGGACAAACTTAAAGTAAAAGATCGGATTATCTTAGTAATTAGCTTAGCAAATGCGCGCGCGCACAAATTACGAGAAAATTGACGTGGTTCTGAATCAAAGAGGACAGAAGTGTTTGAGTATCGAACCCGCCTAATCTGCCTATTGACAGATCGACAGGAAATAACCAGGAGCCAGATTCACGAAGCGGTTACGCAAGTACTTACGACCATGTACATCTTTCCTCAATCTTTGACGGCTTTGGTTACATTTATTTAACAGTTTACAAGCATAAAAACGTGCCAATCAACTGTTGTTATTGTTATAAACAGCCTCCTGGTGCTTGGGAGCTCATTAACTGTTTAATAATTGTAAACAAAGCCGCCAAAGATTGATAAAAGATGTACAGGTTCGTAAGTGCTTCGTGAATCTGGCCCCAATACACCACAGCGGACAAGAGGGTCACAAGACCCTTATAGCGCCTAGTGGGATATATCGGCGCCGTAATATACAGTACCGACGTATACACAAGAGGAAAGTTGCTCCTCATTGCAAAATACTGGATTAAATAACAATAGGTTTGTTGCCCACCAACACACACACAAAACTCTATAACAAATAACAGGGTTTTTGGGAGCGGAAATCCTGCTTAACTAGGGGAAGACAGAAGCCAGTTCTCGGAGTTGACGGCGCAGAACAAACAACTCAGCCCGTGGCTCAGTGGAGACTGCCCCAGTGCACAAAATGCAAGGTGAAGGGCGTTTATAAAGTAAGAGCTGCAGGACACGGAAAATATGCCTGCTAAAAATGGCGAGATGGGCAGGCAGGTAGGCAGACAGCAAAGTAGGCAGACAGCAAAGTAGGCAGGCAGGCAGGTAGGCAGACAGCAAAGTAGGCAGGTAGGCAGGCAGGCAGGTAGGCAGACAGCAAAGTAGGCAGGCAGACAGGCAGGCATACAGGCAGGAGACAGGCAGGCAGGCAGCAAAGTAGGCAGACAGGCAGCAAAGTAGGCAGGCAGGCAGGCAGCAGACAGACACACAGACACACAGACAGGCAGCAGGCAGGCAGGCGTAAAGGACATGAGAGAGGTAGTCGGACCAGCAAACAGCCACGTATACAAACGAGCAGACAAGCTGGCAGGGAAGCTCCTAATTAAGGAAACAATTTAATCATCCTGTATTAATTAATGTGTGCATATTTCTGAATAGAAGCATGTAGCGCCGGTGAAACTGGAGAGGTATGGAACACACACTTAGCAGCTGTTGCTTGCTCGCCCTCTCTTGCTCCCCTCCCAATCCTGCCCCCTCCCAATCCTGCCCCCTCCCAATCCTGCCCCCTCTCTCCCTCCCTTCCCTCGTGTTCAGAAATGAAAACCCTTATTGAAACTGGAGGCCAGGATCTTCAAACATTAGCTTCGTCTGAAGCCTAATTCTAGAAACTTTTATTTAGGGGAGTTTAATATCAGTTTCCATTAGGAATAAACTTTATTTTGTGCTAGGCTACACACGTGTCAGTTACTGACTGGAGATGGAAACAGAATTTCGCCAGAGCTTCTATATGGTGGGTTGGTTTGATTTCATACATATTTATGAGTTGACCTAACGTGTTCTGTGAGTCAGTCGAGAACTGAATAATCACATGAAGGTGGGGGGGGGCGGGGGGTGTTCTGCTTGTATAAAAGCTGTTTATGGCTGAACGCCTTGAGTTGTGGTTGCCGGTTCCTGGATGTCAACGAAGTTGTGCAGGGTGGGGAATCTCGACAATATTGAACACTCTAATAATACTAACAAAGCCGCTAACAAGCCTCCAGTGTTGAAGACACTCGTGTACTACTGACCAGTCAAATGAGAATGGGTTTAGAGATGAGTCTCCTACTCTGATCCTCTCGGACGCAGGTTCGAACCCTCGTCACCGCCCTTGTGGATTTGTTCTAGAGATGAGCCTTGTGACACGCTCCTCTACCCTGTCCACAATTCAGATAAAGGTTTAAGGGGGGTCAGGCAATCCAGGAGAGTGCTGCTGACTCAACATGGGACAGAAACTGTGCTTCATATAAGGTTTGGAACCTTTATCGAGCGTCGCCAGCTTTAAGTGTTACTACGCTGCCTTGTTTTGTAAAGTTCAGCACGTGGCTCTTTATGGTTATTGGAAAGTCAGTCATCATCCCCCATGATGGCAACTTTACCAAGAATTCGATTATTTTCTATTAATCTGTATGCCTGTCCGGGGTTCATTATTATTTGGTAGTATTAACTTTATAGAGTGAATAGTACAGTCGAATTTGGCACTATTCACTTTATAGTCTGAAAAAAATATAGCTAAAAACATATGTAAATATTCCTAGGCCCAGTATAACACATTTATGTGCTATATTAAGCCTCAGATAGCTTGTGTTACACCTAAGATGGTTAGGTTAGGTTAGGTTTTATTAGCAAGATAAATTACAAAACATTTTCCGGTTTGTCCAAACACAATAGTACCGAATTGTACTTTCTAATTGCCCATCACGTCAAGATATGTCCGATGGTTCACATAGTTAGTACAAGTACTATATAAACAGAAGGATGTTTAAATAATAAATCCATAAATCATAATAATAATAAATCCATAAATCAATCCTGCGCATAAATCAGAGGGCACTGTATGAACACCAGAGGGCCACGGCTGTTCACTACCCTCCCAGCACACGTAAGAACTATTTCTGGAACAAAAGTAAACGTCTTCAAGAAAAAAAGTAGGTTCCTGGAAGAAGTGGCCGGACTAAACGGGTTGTAATGGATGTGTGGGCCTGCGGGTCGCTCCAAACAACAGCCTGTTGGACCAAGCTCGCTCCAATCAAGCCTGACTTGGATTATGAGAAGTTCCAAAACTCTCTTCTGGTACAATTCGGGTACAACGCGTTCTCGGCTGTAATTGTGTCGTAATCTACACACTTTATGCAAGTTGTAACCTGGCGATCAAATATGTATGTAAATACATATATAAAGTGAGGTACACGATATGTTAAAGGTCAGCAATATTGGGAACAATATTAGAGTTCTGGAATAAGACCAAAGCATTCCTGGACGAGCACACGTTTGTTTAGGAAATACAGATACAATACTAAGCTTCGAGACAGATTTTATTAAACAAAAAATTGGCGTCTTTAATTTGGAAGTTTGAGGAAGAATCTCTGCCCAACTCATGTTGGTATAGAGGGGGAGAGAGAGAGAGAGAGAGGGAGAGAGGGTGAGAGAGGGTGAGGTGAAAAAGAAGTGTGAGCGTAAACTAAATCACAGGAAATGTAAATACAGAGGATGGAGTCAGAGAGAAGAGTAAACTCGGGAAGTATACTACACCTATTCAGCTTTTTTTTTACCGGCAGATGAGAGATGAAGCCCAACCCAGCCCGGTGGAAGTGTGTGGAGAGTACTCCCCCGGCGGCGTATCATGGCCTCGTCCTCCACAGTGCCCTGAGCCCAGTAATCATAGTCTGGTTCACCTGTGTGTGCCAGAGCCCATTGTTTCAAGCGTAGGATAGACTTGCATGTACCAGTTTGTGTGGGCATGAGATACCAACTGCCTCCTATGGGCCAATAGGTCTGAAGCAGTTTGCTGAATTATGTTCTAACTTGATCACTGATATCGTAATAATTTGGGAATATTCGAAAGTTACAGTAATAGGAGATATATAGGTTAGTCCACATGTAAAACACAGTATATGGAATGCTGGGTGTGTGTGTGTGTGTGTATATATATATATATATATATATATATATATATATATATATATATAATCTCAAACTCTCAAGAGCATTACACTCAATTACAAACAACTTACCAATTTATTAAATTAAAAATAAATTTAATACATGTAAAATGCAAGTCATTACACTAGAGTCTACTTGTAAACAACTTTGATGTAAGTAATTAAGTGCGAACCTGGACCTCGCCGCCGCCCCTTCCCCCCCCCCCTCCTCCCCCGACCTTCTTCCTCCTGCACCTCCTCCTCCCCCCCCCCCCCCCCCCGACCTTCTCCACCTCCTCCTCCACCCTCCAACAAACAAGTCTTCCACTCCCACACACACAAACGTTCCTCTAAGTCCACACAAACTGTGGCCGCAGTGTCGTTTAAGAGTTTGTCCTCAAGACTGAGATAAATCACATTTTCTTTTACACAATTTTAAACGTATAGTTATTTAAAATGGAACTTTCAGTATACTGTATATACTACGCGTAAAGCTCTTCCAAAACCAGTTAGATTAACACTAATTAAACACTTGCAGACTTCCGCTTTAAATATACACGTGAACTATTAGGAAATAAAATGGTACTTAGATATATAACACAGTACAAAACAGCCACGCGCCAACACATAGTGATAAACTAGTAATATACTAGTGAAAAGAGCTAGTGAAAAACGTAATATTCAAAAGTTGGTCAAAATACAATGATATTGACAAATGTTGGGGTAAGAATTCGGCCATTTTCAGATAAATTTATTGTAACCCGGACTTTTGACCCAAACACTTCAGCTTTTGGGCTCAAAAACTGTTGGATGAAGTGAAGATGTGAACTTGTTCAAACAGGTTCAATAATGTTTCTATTGCAAAGGATTTTACAATTTGTCAGAAAAGTCTCACCAAATTGATTGAGAGAGATCTTCAAAAACAAATTTTAAAAAAATATTTTCAATAGAAATATTATTGACTGCTTTAATACAAATTACATAGCTATACAATACGATCATAACTAATGGTTTGTACAATTTTAATCCATTTTTAATTCATCAATTTAAAAAACGATTTGAGAATGATAATAGTTTATTTGTCCCTTCTGGAAGGGGAAACAATACCATTGACAAATACATGTGTGTTCTTGGAACTCTCATGTATTGGTCAATGGGACTTGTGGTGTTCCGTAGTGTTCTCATGTTCATGAACCAGTGTTACAAAGACATTGTTATCCCCCCCTCACATGTATCCTTCCTGCATATCCTCCACGGAATTGTAATGTTCATCATTCTAACCCTAAGTAACTCTAGACTAACATGAAAGTACTTGAGGAATTTTGTTTCATTTTCCTTCGTGGATGAACATTGCCATATATATATATATATATATATATATATATATATATATATATATATATATATATATATATATATATATATATATATATATATATATATGTCGTACCTAGTAGCCAGAACTCACTTCTCAGCCTACTATGCGAGGCCCGATTTGCCTAATAAGCCAAGTTTTACTGAATTAATATATTTTCTCTAATTTTTTTCTTATGAAATGATAAAGCTACCCATTTCATCATGTATGAGGTCAATTTTTTTTTATTGGAGTTAAAATTAACGTAGATATATGACCGAACCTAACCAACCCTACCTAACCTAACCTAACCTATCTCTATAGGTTAGGTTAGGTAGCCGAAAACGTTAGGTTAGGTTAGGTTAGGTAGGTTAGGTTGTCGAAAAAACATTAATTCATGAAAACTAGGCTTATTAGGCAAATCAGGCCTTGCATAGTAGGCTGAGAAGTGAGTTCTGGCTACTAGGTACGACATATATATATATATATATATATATATATATATATATATATATATATATATATATATAATATATATATATATAATATATAATATATATATATATATATAATATATATATATATATATATATATATATATAATGTGTACATATCCAGCCCCACACGCACACAATGTGATCGTGTGTGTGACTGACAAGGTTGTTCCTTCCTCGGTGCGTTGTTTATTCATTCATTGCTCCTGCACTTTCTCATATTTGCCTTTCTATATTTCAGGTTCCTTGGAAGTAAGTAGCAGAGGGTGAAGTGTGTTGGCGAGTCCGTGGTAAGTGTGTCATGTTAGACGGCCATGGGGTGTGTGTGTGTGTGTGTGTGTGAGCTTTGACTCGTGGTAATTCATTCACATCTCTCAAAAAATGTTTCATTTGACCTGTGTGTGCTAGCTTGATAATGAACCACGTGTGTTTATCAGTACCTATTGACTCACTGCTTGGTGTTGACTTGTGGTGGTAATCACTCTCAACTGCTGAATAATTCCAGCTCGTATAAAATGAATGTTTGTGGCCTTTCTTCCCTGCTCCACTAACTCGTTAAACACACATGCCATTCACCGTCTTCCTCTCATTCATCTGTCTTGTTATTCACCCGATTTGTTGACTGTTACACTAAACTGAATAAAAATTGTGGAGTTATTCATTCTGTTTTTCAAATGAACGTGGACCAAATGTTGGATTCTCCTGGGGGCCCTTGGATTCTCCTGGGGGCCCATGGTTTCTCCTGGGGGCCCTTGGATTCTCCTGGGGGCCCATGGATTCTCCTGTGGGGCCCATGGATTCTGAGGGACCATGGATTTTCATGGGGGCCCATGGATTTTCATGGGGGCCCATGGATTTTCCTGGGGAGCCCATGGATTTTCCTGGGGAGCCCATGGATTTTCCTGGGGAGCCCATGGATTTTCCTGGGGGGCCCTTGGATTTTCCTGGGGGGCCCTTGGATTTTCCTGGGGGCCCTATGGATTCTCCCGGATGCTCATCCATGTTGGTCTATTATTTGATTGATTATTGCTGTAAGACTCTTATTTGACCTTGATTGTTTCCGATTCTTTCTTGAATTTTAATTTTTTTTCCAAGACGAAAACTGTGATTGATAAGTTATCACGTTTATCCATTTTCTCCTGTTATTGTCCTTCGTAATTTGAATATTTTGCAATTCTTTTTTCTTCAAATTTCTTGGTTAATAGTGTTTTGTGAGTGAGACCAGGAGCTATTAGCTCTTGGACCCCGCCTTTCTAACCGATCTATGTTTCCTCTATGTTTAACTACATGTTTTTCTCTAAACACACACACAATCCCCAGGAAGCAGCCCCTTAGGATCTGTCTAACTCCCTGGTACCTATTTTCTGCCAGGTGAACAGGGGGGGGGGATCAGGGTGAAAGAAACTGCCCATTTGTTTCTTCCTCGCCCGGGAATCGAACCCGGGCGAGGTTGTGTTATTAGTTTGTCTTGTATTAATGTTCTTTGTCATAAAGCTTTTGTCATTCTTTGACACTTGATTAGGGGCTGTGTCATGTGTCACAATTGTGTCATTGTGTGTCATTGTGTGCCTGTGTCAAGAGCCACGTGGCCCTCTGTGCCATTGCTAATTCGTGGCCCTGTTGTATGCCAGTAACAGTCGGTAACAGCCACCTGTTGTCATGTGAGCCATCTGTCATGCCTGTCAATCACCTTGTGTCATGCCGCGCCTCTGTCTTTGTTGACAGTCATGTGTTTGTGCGGTGAAAGTCACTGTCATCACTTAATGTGTGTTCTAGTGTTCTTTATTGGTATTTTATTTAATATTTATTTGCCTTTATTTTATTGTTTATTATTATTTATTTTCCATGTTAATTTTTTTGCTTCTTTTTATTTAATCTTCTTCTCGTGTCTCTTGTGTTTCATCATATTTATTTTATTATTTTACCCCTTTGTCACTCATTGTTTACTGTCACTCATTGTTTACTGTCAGTTTACTGTCACTCATTGTTTACTGTCAGTTTACTGTCACTCATTGTTTACTGTCAGTTTACTGTCACTCATTGTTTGCTGTCACTCATTGTTTGTTGTCACTCATTGTTTGTTATCACTCATTGTTTGTTGTCACTCATTGTTTGTTGTCACTCATTGTTTGTTGTCACTCATTGTTTGTTGTCACTCATTGTTTGCTGTCACTCATTGTTTACTGTCACTCATTGTTACAGTTTACTGTCACTCATTGTTTACTGTCACTCATTGTTTACTTTCAGTTTATTGTCACTCATTGTTTATTGTCACTCATTGTTTATTGTCACTCATTGTTTATTGTCACTCATTGTTTACTGTCACTCATTGTTTACTGTCACTCATTGTTTACCATGACTGACTGTCAACTGTACTTGCTATCAGTCATTCTTCACCAGCCGTCACTGGTCACCTTGGCAGTGATATTTATGCGGCTTGTATCACATTATGTTCTTACCTGTTAACTCTGTTATGCTCTCGCTCTCGCTCTCTCCCTCTCGCTCTCTCCCTCTCGCTCTCTCCCTCTCGCTCTCTCCCTCTCGCTCTCTCCCTCTCGCTCTCTCCCTCTTTCACACTCTCCTCTCACTGTAAAATTAATAGCATCCCAAGTCACCATATAAGACAGTAGTGACCAGAGCTTACTAACACGGCACCCGAGTGCCAAGCGCAATGGCACTGTGCCTGTGTTAGGTGCCTTCATGACCCTTCTCCCCTCACCTCTTCCTCTCTCTCCCCCCCCCTCTCCCTCCTGTACCGCTATTTGGAGGAACTTGCCATCAAGATCTCCTTCTAACTTCTCTTGCAGGAGACACCAGATTACCTGCTCGTCATCCGCTGCTGTTTGAAGTTGGTCACCATGAGGTAGGAGACTTAGGACATCCCTCCTCAACCTCTTTATTGATGACTAATGATCTTCCCGCGTCCTCTCCCTTCCTGTACCCGCGTCCTCCTCTTTTCTGTACCAGCGTCCTCCTCTTTCTACACCCCTCATCTTCTTGCTTTTGCTCCAGAGGCATCCAGTACAGCCTGTGTTCCCCTGTGGATGTGTCCCCCATTGAGGCGTTCCCTGTTTACGGCTGCTTCTAATGGCTGCATCTCCGTGCTTTAGAATTTGGTATACTTCGTGCTAGAACCTGTATTTTGAGCTGTCTTTGAGGGGTGTACGCTTACACGCTGAATGGGGTCACTTGTTAGCTTTCTCCGAAGGGTTCCTGTAATGGCGCCTCGAGAAGCATACTTTGAAAGGCCTCTGTATGAGTTTCCTTCGTGGTGTTCCCGCTAGATCTTTTAATAAAATTCTTTATGGGAATTATCAGTGCGATCACTAGATAATAGGATATGTACGTGGCTACGAATAGGGCAAAGACTTACGCATAGCCATACAGTAAATTATATTCGTGGTTATCCGTGGCTAGTCATACGCCCTTGACTTACGATAAACTGACTATGGTTTGGGCTAAAGCAGTTTGGACTAGATCTTTTCTCGGGGAGTTTGATACGAAGCGCCAACAAGGGTGGTGGTTGTGGGGGGGGGGGAGGGTGGTTGGTAGTGAGGATTATATGTTGTCCATCTCTTTGTTTGGGCTGACTGGCAGGCTGCCAGCTTAGTCTGTAGTCATGACCGGGGTCTGCCAGCTTAGTATGTGTGTGTGTGTGTGTCATTGTTGGTGTCCACCTGCTTTGTCCCTGAATCATTATCTCTCCCTCCTGTAGTATCTGATTACCTTGTCTGAACTGTGCATGCTTTTATGTGGGACCAAGGCCAGTTGGCTGACGTACCAGGGGCCAGTTGGCTGACGTCCTGCGTGTTATAAAGCATTTATAATGCCTGCCTGCCTGCCTGCCTGCTGTTGATGCAGGTCATGCAACATTCAACAGTGCTTGCAAAGAAGAGCATGCTCCTTCACTGCTTATATTTACAATGATCATTGCGAATTTCCTCATGTTCATTTTATAAATATTGACCCCTGATGATATTGTGTTGCAGTGTCCAGTACTTTCTCTTGGGATGTATTGATCCCGTGGTGAGTGGGACTTGTTTGGCCAATGGTAAGGGATTTATGGCCAAAGGTAAGGGATATATTTATTTTTTTCCAGTATAGGTGTCTGTGAAGGTAAAGTCATGTTACATTAAGTAATGAAACAGGTGTGTTGGAAGTAAACACATGGTGGGGGGGGGTATATATATCTGAACCTGATATCTTTGAGTCACTTTCATTTGTCTTGTAGGTGTTTTTGTTGCTCATGATCGACATGATTGTGCTCACCTTCACTGTCCAGCGGTGAAGCAGGTCATTCCGAGCCGCGGATGAACCGGCTAAGGATGACCCCCCCAATCACCATCCACCACTATCCACATCACAATCACCCCTATCACCATTACGTTCTCTCCCCCCCCCCTCCCTCCCCCACAACTGCCGCCTCAGGGTAAAGTCCAAACTTAAGAGCATTGCAAGGCGCCGGGGAGGCAGGTCATGCCAATATATTATATCTTTTCAATAGAAGTTTCTGAAAGCTTTATACATTACTGCAGATGGAATTAAGCAGAGTTGGTTTATATTATTTCTCGCAGTGAATCGATTTGTTGTTATTGGCAGGGTTTAAATTGGGTATTTGCTATATTAGTTGTGCCTGCAGGATAGAGCTGTTAGCTCTTGGGCCCCGATCTCTCTCTCTCGTCTATATTATCTACTACATAGTTCACACAACACACACACACACACACACACACACACACACACACACACACACACACACACACACACACACACACACACACACACACACACACAGGGACCAGTGGTTAAGTGGACAGCGCTTAGAACTCGTCATCCCAGGGTCCGGGTTCGATCCCGGACGATGGCAGAAACAAATGGGCAGAGTTTCTTTCACTCTGATGCCCCCCTGTTACCTAGCAGTAAATAGGTACCTGGGAGTTACAGCTGTTACGGAGCTGCTTCCTGAAGGTGTGTGTGTGGGGGGGGGGCTACGTCGACCTGCATGAGGCGAGACCGTCGCTCTACCGTCCAGCCCAAGTGGTTGGGCTACGAGTATATAGCACAGGGGACGGGGATGTGTAAGGACAGGATAGGAGCCGGGAAGGGACCCGGAGTGAAGGAACACTGCCCAATCACTTTGACCCGCGGGGGGATCGAACGTCGACCTGCCAGAGGCGAGGCCGGTGCTTTACCGATCAGTCCAAGTGTCTATAATTACCAGCAGTGTGTAGAAGGGAAGGGAACTATCAGGAGAAAGCGCCGAGTCATTACGACTATACAGCACTTGGAAGGGGTCAGGATAAGGATTTGGGATGGGACGGGAAGGGGGGGGGGGAGGAATGGTGCCCAAGCACTTGGACGGTCGGGGATTGAACGCCGACCTGCATGAAGTTGTGTGGGAGATTGAATCTCTTTTGGGGCTGGGAAAATAACATATTTTCCTTAGCTTGTTTTAAAGCTGCATCTAAAGCTGCATCAATAACTGAGGGGCTGGTCCCAAACCTGCACACAGAAATAACACCACATGAGACCAGAAGACATGGCAGGATGTGCAGAATACCCCCATTGAAAAGCAGAGGTGCAACAGGTACTCTGAGAGAGAATTCTATCAACATCAGAGGCCCGAGACTGTTCAACACGCTTCCACTACACATAAGGGGCATAACTGGCCGACCCCTCACAGTGTTCAAGAGAGAACTGGATAAGCACCTCCAAAGGATACCTGATCAACCAGGCTGTGACTCATACGTCAGGCTGCGAGCAGCCGCGTCTAACAGCCTGGTTGATCAGTCCAGCAACCAGGAGGCCTGGTCGACGACCGGGCCGCGGGGACACTAAGCCCCGGAAGCACCTCAAGGTAGGTAGGTACCGCATTTGGGTTACTGCAACCTCGACGCAATTGCAGAGATCAACATTTCGCAATTAATTAACTCAGGACTACAGACTGCCAGAGCTCTCGGACACGTCAAGAAAACTGACTAGTTAGTTTTGATATAGTTTGAATAACAGACCACACACACCAGCACTCACCGCTTGCGGCTTGGTGATAAACGCTGAACTTTGGCACTTTAAGACGACATTAATTGGTTGTAAGTACAGGTGTGTTTGCACTTCCCGGCTAGAATATACAGGCATGGCCACTTAAAGCAGCTAGGACGGACACACACACACACACACACACACACACACACACACACACACACACACACACACACACACACACACACACACACACACACACACACCTGCTGGAATATAAACCTCTGGCAGCATCAAGTGCATAAATTAAAATCAATTTCAAACAGAAATGATACGTTTCCCTCAGAACGTTTTCCCTCAGTATTTAGAACCCTCATCGGTATGTCTTAAAATCCCTCCCCCCCCCCTCCGTGTTGGGGGCAGCGACAACTGCATCCGGGCCACAAGCTGTCTTGCGTGAGGTAAATGCTGATGATTATTTGAGTGCGTGTGGCACCACAGGTGTGGCACCACAGGTGTGGCACCACAGGTGTGGCACCTCAGGTGTGGCAAGGCTATGCGTGTTCAGTGCTTGTGACAGGATCGTCAGCACCTGGTCCCCCTCCCTGCCCCCCCCCTCCCCCCCCACAACAGCACGCATGCACCCGCTCAAGTGCCAGATAATGGGCGCTGGGTGAGCACTAGGTTGGGGAAGGGGGTCAGGATGAGGATTTGAGATGGGATGGGGAAGGAAGGAATGGCGCTCAACCACTTGTTGGACGGTCGGGGATTGAACGCCGACCTGCATGACGCTCTACCGTCCAGCCCAAGTGGCTGAGGGGGAAGGGTGAAACTCTGATAATATCGTCAATGGATATCGTCACCGGCTGGCTACAATATGATATAATGAGTGTGCAACTTAAGGCGATATTCCCAGAACACAGTGTGAGGGCATCAGCCTTGAGAGGCCTCTCTCTCGTAACTTTGATATAAAAGTCCAATCAGTCTAATCTTGGGTGTTTATCATCTCAAGCTGTGTAACGCCACGCACCAGTTTGTGGCATTATTGTACACGCACCAGTTTGTGGCATTATTGTACACGCACCAGTTTGTGGCATTATTGTACACGCACACGCGCGCACACGCGCGCACACACGCACGCACACACACGCACGCACACACACGCACACACACACACGCACGCACGCACACACACGCACACACACACACACACACACGCACACACACGCACACGCGCACACACACACTACCGTATAGTTTTGAGATGGCAGGAGCTTAATTCGCGAATTGACTTGAGACCTGCTGGTTCTTCCTCGCGTTAACGCTCGTCGCTGTATCGTCGCTGTATCGTCGCTGTATCGTCGCTGTATCGTCGCTGTATCGTCGCTGCTGCAACACGTTATTCCTGTCCGGCAACAGATAATGTTGCACACAGTGTTGCTAGTCATTCCTGCTCTATAATGTGGGCTAGATGACCGTGCAATATAGAACAATTACTTGTCCAGTGAATTAGGGCAATTGCCGTTTTCTATAGCTTATAATGATTTGTCGTTTTCTGTGGCTTGTAGCACTTATCGTTTTCTATGACCAGCATTTTTCCCATTTACTCTCATGCCTTGCTTGGCCCTTCTTGATTGGTCGGCTGATTCGGCCGGCATTTGAAAATTTGAAAAAAATACTTATCTCTGATTTGTCAGTTATCTTTGAAATGTGACATTCCAGTAATGTTGCCATACTTTCTAGCTTTCTAAGTTAACACAAGTTTTGAATACCTTAAAACTGATATGGTGGTCGGTAGGTTTCAGGAGTATCGTTGATATATATATTTGCATGAATATGAATGTACAATTGTAGTATTTGGAGGACTTTTTCGCCTCTGTGACA